ACAGACAGACACAGAGACAGACAGACACAGAGACAGACAGACACAGAGACAGACAGAGACAGAGACACAGAGAGACAGACAGAGACAGACACAGAGACAGAGACACAGAGACAGAGACACAGAGACACACAGAGACAGAGACACAGAGACACACAGAGACACAGAGACACACAGAGACAGAGACACACAGAGACAGAGACACACAGACACAGAGACACACAGACACAGAGACACACAGACACAGAGACACACAGACACAGAGACACACAGACACAGAGACACACAGACACAGAGACACAGACACAGAGACACACAGACACAGAGACACACAGACACAGAGACACACAGACACAGAGACACACAGACACAGACACACACAGACACAGAGACACACAGACACAGAGACACACAGACACAGAGACACACAGACACAGACACACACAGACACAGACACACACAGACACAGACACACACAGACACAGACACACACAGACACAGACACACACAGACACAGACACACACAGACACAGACACAGACACAGACACAGACACAGACACACACGCTGTACATATACCAATCACATGGGATATGATGGAATAGGGAACCCGCAAGGCTACACTAGATTTGGGGTATGCCTCATTTTCAGAGAAAGGGAAGCAGGTTCGTGTCGTTTGAAGTGGCCTCAGTCAGGGCAAGCCTTTGGGGGCTCATAGAACCAGCTGTCCAGCCAATACTGGAACTGATCAGCTGTGATCATTCAGTGACAACATATCCCAAAAATGGTGTCAGTTTAAGGGGCAACTTATACCTGCAGGTTTTTCCTGAATTCAATTGAAGATATGAAGGTCGTTGAAGGTCTGTACCGCAGGAGTACCTCACCCCATGTTCTGCCGATTCGTGCCCATTTTGACTGCAATCTTTGCCATCATGACAGGCGGTTGGGGGGGTGGCTATGGAAAGTTTGGAGGTGGCTATGGGCCTGACTACAACTATCAGCAAGGCGATGGATATGGATACCAGGGCTATTGAGCTCCTTGAGCTCGTTGAGCTCCCCGGGCTCCCCCTTGACTGCTGCCGCAAGCCGCGGCAATAGACGTCCTATGATGCGATGTGGGAAAAAGAGCTCTGCTGGTGATCCCAACTGCCTGATGTCACTGATGTCTGTTACAGGATGGAGCCCACTGAGCCCACCAACCACTTTGTTTTTTTTATTTTGTTTTTCCCCTCTTAGCAACTCCAAAAAAGATAGAATAGTAACATCATAACATCCCACTTACATACGGATACATGTCCTTTCTATTCGGGCCCTGGCCTACAGAATGATTTCCGGGTCATGTTTCATTCCACTTCTCTGACTTTGGACATGACCATTGGACCCATTGGACCCATTGGACCCATTGGACCCATTGGACCATTTCAAACGAAGATCATGTCTTGTAGTTTTTGTATCCCGTATCCTTCTATAGATTCCAAAACGTGCAGTATCTCGAGGTTGCGAAAAAAAGCACTGCGCAAATCCTAACTCAGACTTCCAAACTGATCTCAACGTTGTCAGTGTGTAGAGCCAGACCTCCTGGGTGTGTCTGAAAGCAGGGCACCACCGCTACCCCATTTCTGGAAAAAGCCTCCGAGAATCTCTCGATGGTTTGACCTCTTCCACCATTCGGAAACTCTACGATCTGTGGAATCTGGATTTTACCCTCTGGTAAACTAACAGAAAGTGAGTTTTCCCATAAAAAATGGTGATTTTCCATAGCTATGTTTGTTTACCAGAGGGTATAGAAAAAAACAGCTGGTTTTCGAATGAATTCCCTTCAGGCAGCCGTGATTTCAGCCGTACAGTTGGTTGCTGTTGGCAACCTGACAGCGATGGAGAGAGAGAGAGAGAGAGATATCCCAAACAAAATGACAACAACAACAACTACTACTACTGCTACTACTACTAATAAAAGTACAACATGCCTTTGAGATGTGACGCCTGCAATATTCAGGTTGTCACCACGTGGTTACCCATATGATTCCTCTGGTGCGAGGCAGACAGTATGTGACTGTGACTGTGACTTGATGATGATGAGGATGGTGGTGATGATGATGATTATGATGATGATGAGAATGATATTATTGTTATTCTTGCCAGTGTGATTCTTAACTATGTGTTACTTGTTATGATCTCCCTTTTAATCATTATTCACCCACTATTTCCATCCCTTTTGCGCATCGGAGCTGTTTTGGGCCCTTTCCAACCCTGTTTCAGGCACCCGACCTGCGCTTTTGGAATCGTCCGGGGGCCCTGTGGAATAGCCCGCAATGTCTCATTGATTCAATCGCTGAATCCTTTGATTTGGTGCTAGAAGGGGTGGTGCACACACAGATATATGAGCCACCGCAAAAACCCCGGCAATACATGGCAATACTAAATATGTATTGGACGGACATTGGTTTATGGAAATTGATGGAAATTGTTAAAAACACACGGTAAGCGATGGGACCTTCCCAAATTAGCGATACCCCTTTTCAAGGTTTATGTCATTGTATTTCTCTAATATCCACATTAGCGATACCCAAATTGGACGTTGATTTCTGTGAATTATATATATATATATAAATGTAGCAGTTTCCTGCAAGCGATACCCCCCAAGTTTACCATATATCATCATTGTACAAACGTGTGGTAAGCGATGGGACCTTCCCAAATTTGTGGATGTCCTTTCCGTGAACCTAGGGTTTTCGAGATTGCTCAAATATGTGTATATATATACATATATAATATATATACATATAATATATATATATATATATTTATATGCATACACGCACATTCATTATACACACTAACAAGCTAAACCCACCTTTCCAGGGTATCGAAGTTCGGCCATGTCTTTATCACCAAGGTCCACGGCTTGCGGCTCCTTGGAAGGCCGGAACGCTGCACGTTTTTTCTGGTCACTTGGATGTGTATCCCAGTCTGCGGTTAACAACTACAGTATGGCTATAAGATGTTTTTGCCTTTCAAACATGGTATATAACATGACAACTGACATGATACAACCCAACTGGGATTCGCATCCAAGGAAGGAACCATTTTCTTGGCTATAACGATGAGTAAATATGTCATATTTGCGGTCAGGATCACGAAAAGATTGACTGTTTTGGGGTGTCATCCAAGGGCGGCTGCCGTGTCATGCTGTCCCGGCCATTCTGCTATGCAAGGGCATCAGGTGTCATCAGTGTCAAGAACAGACTTGTTGCTCATATAAACTTACATCTCCATCTGTTGTTGCTTCCATCCCATCTTTTTAAGGCGTTTGTTGGGTATTTCCAGTTCCATCAACTGGTTGCCATTTTTCATCCGTGTTTCACCAGTCCCCTGACTGACCTTTCTTGGGGTACCATCCACGACCACCACGAGGCTCTCCGAAAAACATTTCCAAGCCGCGGAGGAAGTGTGTCGGGACTGGGCGGTCCCAAAGCTCAGTTGATGTCTTTTGGAGAAAATGCGTTTGGGGAAAGAAACGATTTGTGTCTTCCTTTGGAGGTTCTGAGTTCAAGGAAGTTTTGAGTTTCCACCTTCTAAACTTTTCGGGGCACAGATGTATAGATGTAGGCAGTAGTCATGTTCAAAGTAGATAGACATGAGACACATATCGTATAGATATACACTTTGATCTCTTCGGATGACCATGAGAAGAAAACCATGAAGAAAAACGATGCCGTTCAAAGTTATCACCATGGCCAGCTTGAGATAATCCTCCAAAGGGTCATTTAAGGTATCTTTGAACAACCCCAAGACAACACGATCCACAGTTTGAATGAGCCATCCCTGATGCTCACGACGCAGCCACTGAGGCCGTGAATGATGGCAAGGACTTCGCAACCACTTCTGGTGACGGTCGAGGAAGTGACGGTCATCTTTCCCTTGGAGGTGTCATGGCAGACCAGGGGACCATTGGCGGGTGATTTTCGTGAGGTATTGACCATCTAATTGAGGTACCCCAAGGTGGGAAATTCCAAAGAAGACAATGCGGTACCACCATTCAAGACAAACTCCTGAAGACTGAAATATGCAAGACATAGAGTGGCATTGCTAAAGAAGCTGCGTGATTGTTTGATCATGTTGATGAAGTGCTTGGCTACAATATACATTGGCTTGAGTGTGATGGTGTCCGTCACACCTTGGTACCAGTGCTTCCAGTGCTAGAACCAACCTAATTCTCTTTTTTCACCCAAGATGTCATGTTTGATAGTGAAGATGATCGATTTATACAGGTTCATGTCCCAGATCCTCCCAAAAAAGGTGGATTCATGTTGATTCCCTTTGGTAGCAGGCAATGCAAGATTCACCAGGTCCTTCATCAGTCTGAACTTGGGGATTTCCCTTCAGAGGGTATTCCTCGTGATGCCGAAAAGGTGGAGTGTCGGACGCCATGCCCTTCCTCCTGCGAGACACGTGTGATCCCCACGACAAATATTTCGCAGCAAAGGGTTGAAACGACCAACCAGCAGATTAGTCCGGGATCAATCTGCTTGAAATGTTGCTCTTGAAATCGGCCCTCATGGGCCAAACAGACCATGGTTTCAAACATCCTGCGGTTGACTTTGTATGCACAGCGAAGCTTGGAATGTCACCTACTAGAATGATGACCCCCCAAGTCTTGCAGCGAAGTTTCCAAAGTTGGTTGGTTGTGAGCCCATTCCCTTAATGGTCTATTCCTTTATATTGACCCCAAGAATGATCCGATCCAATACATAAGATGCCGTATGTTCCCGAGTGTTAGTTACTTAGTGTTACTTAGCTATGGAATTCCCTAGATGGACCTAGACCTCCCATTCATCCGTAGATTTACATCATCATTTTCGCACTATTGCCCGTATGGTACCACCCGAAAGGATAGAAACTATTGGAGTAAAATCCAGAATCCAGTCCTAAAATAGTGTCCAGTGTCCGCAAAATTGAGTACCAACCAAACGAAGCTCTATTTTTTTTATGGTGTATGTGATTCTCTTTGGGGCCATAGGGCGGTTGTTTAATATTGGGGGGAGTGGTACCCAGGCTTTCCCAGAACCAGATCATCCCGAGGTAGTATTATGTTGGCAATTTTTTTTCTACAATGGGCCCCCCCCCAAAAAGAATCCATTGATATCTCCATTTCGGGATGGTCAACCTTCGGTCAAGCGGAGCAAGGCCTCACCTCTGTGTGCTCTGGAAACCGCCTGGCTGGACGGTGCCTGGACCAAGGGATTGGCTGAAGGGAAAACATCTATCTATCTATCTATATTATTTATATGTATGTATATATATATATTATTTTTGGTCTTTGGATGGGAAACATATAGCAAAAACCGAGAACTCTTTTTTTTTTTTTTTCGGGCGGGTCTTTGGATGAAGTCTCGAAACGTTTTGATGGTTCTTTTGGATGATTTTTTGGCCGTAAGAAACTGCCGGGGGAAACACCAGGTCATGGATGCTTGGGTATGGCGCTGCATGCGCTGCATGATCACTTTGATGGTAGTTGATCTGGATGACTCAAAAGATATTCAAACCCAGTGATCCGCTGGGTGGTTAAACGTTAAACCTCCGACCATGCATGTGAGTTTGGTTTGACCATCTGCCTTCAGAGGTTTCTGTTTCACACAGCAGCGTGGCCGAAGCTCATGCCGCTGATGTACCAGGTGTGCAAGGCTGCCGACAGGTATATCGATTCAAGATGATTCAAGAATAAATGCTTGTGTGCATGAGCAGTGAGAATGTACGCATACACTTGCAATCATTTATAAAACATATGTGGTACAGATAATCCCATCCCCCGAATATTCAACAACCCTTGTGTAAATCCCACTCAACCGTGGTTTCTGAGGTGTTTTTAATATTAGGGGGATGGGATTCTTTGGTCTATTCGCCAAGCATCGCGAATCCTGGGAGTCCAGTCAGTAGCCTCGAATGAAACATGGCTAGCTCACCTGGATGGCTGTGGTATGAGATAGGTTGAGATACAAACAAAACGCATGACTAACTGGTTGGTGGTTTGGAACATGAATTTTATTTTTCCATATTTTGGGAATAATACTCCCAACTGACTCTTATTTTTCGGAGGGGTTGAAAAACCACCAACCAGATAAACGTGTGTAAACCCGGAAAGGATCTTCCCAGGCCCAGTACGCAGTGGATCCGTTTGCTGACTGCTCTCTACCCGGATCCAGGTGGCCGTGCTCCAAGGCTGCAGGATGGGCACCGCAGCTGGTTACTTTCAAACATTTTCCCTTGGAACTACTCGGAGATCCCGACTGACGGAGTGAAACCACTCTCTAGAAGCATTTTTTTCAGTTAAATCAGCAAGGTGGTGCAAAGATATTTGCCGCAGACGGTCCTCCCATCTGCCACCCGTTTCGATTTGATTTGCATTTTTTTTTGGGATAAAACCATGTAGTTCCAGCTCTGAAGCATTGTTCCAACACTCAGACGTAGCAGAAAAAACGCTCATCGTTTCTGAGCAGGACTGGATCAAGAAAACACTGGGTGTCGACCACTCCATCGCCTGGGGGCCTAAAAAGTTGGGTCAGATTCTATCACTGTCAGGCTGCGATCAGCCCAAGACTGATCTCAAAATCAGAAAGGCAGGCCCCTTAGAAGTCCCAATAGCTTCCAGAATTTCATAAATGACACAGATCAGTTTTCCATGTGTTTTCAATCTGGTTATATCCACATCTCATCCATCCAATTTCTCAAACTGGGGGTGCCCCAAAACCAGCCCAAAGTCAAGGCTTAAAACGTTTCACGTGCCCCAGCAAGATGACCGTTCACGATGTTAGGCACTGGACCCATCGGCAGCTTATGGCCTCTTACATCGCCTGGTGCCTTTGCCTAGTCTGAGCTGAGTTTTTTTCATTCGGCTCAGTTGCATGATCCATTTCCTACCAGAGGAGCCATCTGAAAGGGTGAAATTAGTTTTTCTTTATGTAGGTCTGGCTGGTGGCTGGTGGTTTCAAATATTTTTTTTTGCAACCATACTTGCAATGAGGTTGTTGAGACGATGAGCATATTCTTGGGATGGGTAACAACCATCAACCATCAACTATCAACCACTGGTGATTTTCCGGCTTGCCATTCCGATGCCCTTAGACCTGGCTTCGCAGCTGTTCTTGGCACAGGAACATCCCTAAGCCGATGGCTATGAGTCATACAACCTATCTACTGGATACCAAACCCATCCACCAAAATGGCCTCCAGGATCTAATGGCACTAGATCAAAGCCAGAATTTTAACCCCCCCGGGTAAATAAGAACAACACATTATTTAAAAACATCACCAGCCTGACACATGATTTTTGTTGATCTATAAGATGTTAGAGGAATCATGAGAGAGTTTTATCCACAAAAATCGTTGAACAACAACAACATGAAGAAACTGCAGAATTTCAGCAATTTTTTTGGTAAAGATGCGTCGACCCCTGGCCGCTGGCGCCGCTGGCGCCTTGGGTGCCCTTGGATTAGCAGTCCTCCTGTTGCGACGTCCGGGCACCAGGTCCACCTGTGGATGGGCCGAAAGAGTTTTAAGATGATACCGATGATACCCTAAAGATCCTAAAGCAACCCCCAAAAAGATAGCAAGGTGATTCACAGTTTTAGTATGGACTGTTTCTATCCTTTTTGGGTTGCTATGTAATTTTGGGGGTCAATTCCTAACCATATCTTGATCCACATCCATAGATTTTTGATGATTTTTGTGTCCCTAGAGCGCCAGGGGTTTGACCCCGTTTGATGGTAAAGAATGCCAGCCGGCCCGAGGCTACAAGCGACAGCACCGCGAGACGCGTCGTGAGATTGAAAAGGCCACAGCGGCGACGGATGCGACGGTAAGACCCATCGAGGCGATACTGGGGGTGGGGCAGAATGTGGGTATGGATCAATACCTATTAATACCATTTTTAGGGGGATGAACATCCATTTACCAGCTATTTTGATGTTCACCAGGGGTACAAGGTTTTGACACACTGCCATGTGATGCTGGAAATATGGTTTATTTGGATTTTTTTGGAGGTATGGTAATGGGAAAATATAGGAAAATATTGAGAAGATCAGGCGTTCAACCATTTTTAACCATGAGATTTTGCGGGACCCGATTTGGAAGACAAAGCTGCACGTGAAAACGGGAAGTTTGGGAGGCACATGCAGGCTCCCAAAAAATTGAAAAGCAAATTATCAAAGGAAGTTGGGAAGCAATCTTCCGAGTTGCGGATGACACTTTTTCAAATGACTTTACATCACATAACAATACATCACATAACAATATATGACGAAGGGTGATGACGAAGGGTGATGACGAAGGGTGATGACGAAGGGTGATGACGAAGGATGGTGAGGTGGTGACTAATGGAAGTGATGACCCTGGGGCAATGGTGACCTAGGGAAGCCTCTGTGTTCTGCAACGAGTGGTTGTTCATTTGTGCGTAGATCTATGCGCTTGTTGAATCTCTGGTTGCGGATCGCAGTGTAATGGCTGCATGGTTGTTGCCATGTTCTTTTGCTATGTGCGTAGAGAGATGCGGGTTAGCCATGTGGTGCTGCAAAACACATTGTAATGGCTGCATGGCTGTTGCATGGGGTTACCGGGGAGGAAGCCAGAGCACGAAACCTGGTTTTCCCGTGTAAAGTGGCCGCAGGCGGCGAAGAAGGGTACCCTGTGTGTGTGTGTGTGTGTGGGGGTTGCGGTCGTTCCGAGCGTAATTGGTTCCTCCTCTGTGTTCTGCAACGAGTGGTTGTTTATGTGCGCGTAGTTCTATGCCATGCGCTTGTTGAATCTCTGGTTGCGGATCGCAGTGTAATGGCTGCATGGTTGTTGCCATGTTCGGTTGCCATGTGCGTAGAGAGATGCGGGTTAGCCACGTGATGCTGCAAAAGGCATTGTAATGTGCATGACTGTTGCATCGGGGTTTGTTTTGGGGAGGAAGCCGGGGCACGAAACCTGGTTTTCCCGTGTAAAGTGGCCGCAGGCAGCGATGAAGGGTGCGGCGGTTGCGGTCGTTCCGAGCGTAATTGGTTCCTCCTCTGTGTTCTGCAACGAGTGGTTGTTTATATATGTGCGCGTAGTTCTATGCCATGCGCTTGTTGAATCTCTGGTTGCGGATCGCAGTGTAATGGCTGCATGGTTGTTGCCATGTTCGGTTGCCATGTGCGTAGAGAGATGCGGGTTAGCCACGTGATGCTGCAAAACGCGTTGTAATGGCTGCATGACTGTTGCATGGGGTTTGTTTTGGGGAGGAAGCCGGAGCACGAAACCTTGTGTTTTTCCGCGTGAAGCGGCTGCAGGCGGCGACCTTGTGTGAGAAGCTTTCTGCGCCCAATGGTTTTGTTGCGTAAGAGACCTCTCTCTGACAGTAAGAGCTTTCTGGCGTGCAGAGCAGTTGAGAGGAGTTAAGAAGAACAAGGAGATGAGAAAGGTTGATCAGTGCTCGGATGAGATGAAAACAGTTGAGAAGAATTTACTTAGATGACATGTGAGAAGAGATGGGATGAGATGTGAAGAGCTGAGAGGTGAGATAAGGTGAGAAGAGCTCACCTGATTTGAGATTGGCCGAAGTGTGGGGTGTGAAGTGCAAGTGTGAAGTGAAGTGTGAAGTGCGGGGTGTGAAGAGCGCAGTGTGAAGTGTGAAGAAGGTGTTCGCTTGGCGTTGCAGGGGTCGCGCGCAGGTCATGTTCTTGGACAACAACAGTGCAACAGGTTCGCACAAAGCACCCACGCACGGGCCTGGCTGGCGCACGGCGCATGCAAGTTCTATAGATGGGAAAGGTCTTATGGTTATAACCCTAAGGCAATTTCCGCCCCGCCTCGTGCGGGCACTGCCCGTATTTATTTTTTCAATAACCCATTGTTTCCAAAGACGTGGCCCAAGGGTTATGTGAATGTATGTGATTCTTGCATCCAACCAGTGTCGCACAAGCACCCAAATTTTAGTTTGGTTTCGCCATATGTTGTTTCCCTGTTCTTGCAAAGATTACTCAAACACTATTAATGTGGTTAGAATAACAATAATAAACCACCCATTTGGGAATGGTTTATACCACCCATTTATGGTGGTTTTGGGGATTGTTTATTAATTGTGTTTTAACCGCATTAGACAATAATTTAAACGACCAAGTTTGTGGATCTTGGTGTGGTCCGCGGGCTCCATTGCTGTATATTTGTTTTGCAATAGGGTTCCAACAAGGTTAAACCGTGTCGCGGAATGGTAGGGATTTACTCTTATTCTATCTTTGAGGAACGTAGGACCCCTATTGTATGATGCGACAATCTTGATCAAATCACGTTTGGCAAGCCGTCCCCATTGTCTCTGACGCTCATGATGTCCAGGGCAGAAGTAAATCAGCACCATTACTTCCATCCCATTCAAGCCTTTTCCCTGATTTGAAGTGTTTGACATTTTCTTCAACCCCATCTCAGCCACTCAAAACAAACATTGAATCCGTTTCTACTTCAAAAAAATCTGAGATTTTTTTTTTCCCCCATCATTTCCCTATCCTCGCAGCCGGCAGCTCTCAATTGCCTGATCCCAGGCCCCCGACGAGAAGGCTGATAAAACGGCCGCAGCCGTCGCTGCAACGACGAGTTCGCCCAGCAAGCTCCCAGTTGCCTGGCGACATTGAAAATGATGCCCAGGGAAAACAACTATAGCAACCACCAAAAAGATACAACAGTAGATCATCACTATTTTAGGTTCGGACTTTACTGTTCACTCATTTTTAGGGATTACTATATCCAAGACATTCTGAAACCACCCATTTTGAAACCATATGAAACCCTGGTATCGATGGTAGAGGTGAATCTGCTGCAAGAAAGGCCGGAGAGGTTCAATCCCAACATGCCACGCAATGGCGCACCAATGATTCGTTGCTGATTTCATGTGGGGCGATGACCCCCCATGACTTTCATATTCTTTGGCTGTCTCAACCACCCCTTCCAGACTTGGTGGGAAAATTTGCAGAGTTTACATCTTTCATGGGAAAAATCATGGTTTCCTGTAGGTTTCCTGTAGGTTTCCTTGGACAACACACCCCAATGATCCAACCAGATGCCATTCTTGGCTGCTAGACTGCTAGAGGCCTCTTGGGCGGCACAGGCAGTTCAGGCGGCATGGAGACTCAGAAAATTGGTGCAGCTGTGACTGGAGAGGGCGAGAGTGATTGGTGTAGCAGGATTTTTGCTCATGGATGCTCATGAAGTTTTTTTCATGGATTTTTGGATGGATTTTCCAGCTTCCGGTTGAAGCTGTGCAGGTAGGTGAGTGCCTTCCCGAAAACAGCCATGGTTGAAGGTCCGTGGTCACAACACTAACTTTGGTACCTCAAAACACCCGTGGAATTTTGGCTCAGTCAACCTCTACAGGTTGCAAACTCTTGTAAGCCATGTGTGTTTTTTTGAAGCGGCCGATCCCGAGACATTGGGTTGGAACCACGGGCATATCATGTTCCATCATGAGACGATTGGTGCCACCCTTCCCTGGATAAAATGCCCTTTTTGTGGCTGGTTAAAACCGCAACTTTGGTTGATAAGAAGATTTTTGTTGCCAAAACTAGTTTGGCCAAATATCATAAGGTAACTTTATGTAACTTTGGTATTGCAACGTCACTTTTTGTTCCAAGAAAATACGTGAACATCCATGATAAACATGCATAAACATGGACCCCTATGAGAATCCCTGAAAACAAAACCAACCAATTCCAACCAACATGCCACCTAGGCCAAAGATGCCATGGCCAGCAGGGGAGAGAAGACCAACGAGGCATTGGATCTCGTGGGAGTTTCGGGCAACACTTGCAGCTATTTTCACAATTTCACACATCAGAAGTTAAACACATTCTGATATTCTAACATGAAGTTG